CTCTCTCTCTCTCTCTCTCTCTCTCTCTCTCTCTCTCTCTCTCTCTGCAAATCTTTTCAGTTATTCGGAGCTGGAAGTGGAAGGATTTTTGCGTTGATATTGTTAAAAATTAATGACGGCCCCGGGGCTTCTTCGCTTTGTGAGTCCAGCGAGCGGTACCATACGTACAACGCGTTGGCGTCGGGCCCCGGCACACCTGCGACAGCGCCACCGGTGTATTGGGCATGAGGCTTTGTTTTTACGCTGGCCGGTGAACTACGCCAAGTTGAGAACTGTGATGCTACAACGAAATGGACAACCTGCCACTTTTCGCAGCATTTGCCTGCAACGGCATCGTGGTGATATTGGTGAGCAGGCAGAGGAGTCCTTTGAAGTCCGCTCCGTGTACGAACATTCAGACACACGACCGTACCACGCCGCGAGAATTCCCGAACAAGAGTGAAAACCAGCGGGTTTTGCAGAGGAGCCAATATTTGTTGAGCGTTCCCGTTGAATGGTGAACAAGGCAGCGTTGTCAAACGGTTCCTTGACGTGCTCTTCGCACAACAGCCTATCAATGTCTCCTCTCGACACCTCGCACACCGAAGAACCACTCAAGACTCACTTTTTTGTTTCAACGTTTTGTTTCAGAGTGGAAAAATCTCGATAGCAAGCGCAGCTGAACTTATTGGTGTACCCGATACTGATGGAAGTAGTCTACAACGAGTTTTATTGGTCGCAGATTCAGACGAACAAGAATCAGGAATCGATGAAACATTACTGAGCATGTACCCCGACAAAGAAAAAAAAAAAACGCCCAAAAATACTACAGCATCAAGTGAAAAGTCTCCGTAAAAAGTCGAATGACAACCTCGGAAGACAATTTTGCTCAACGGCATCAACAGTCGACGGCCATCATAGGATATATCCTCCCATCCACCAGTTTTCCACAGCGAGAGAATTTCAACCATTTTCGCACCCAGAAGGTGCCGTTGCTCTAGGGGGCTTGAGCAAAACACTCAGAGCCCCGTGCGTCTCCCGCTGCATGACACGACGCACACGGCGTACACTAAACACTGCAGTACAAATTTGAATTTAACCCTTTCCTACACCTTGTTGCTGGACTGATGCACGAAATTAATTATCGAAATACTGTCTGTGCCTCTAGTATCAACCCCACCGGTAGCCTTCCAACCGAACGCGTGTTCAGGCAATGACGCCTGCTAGAAACACCATCATTATCATCACCTACTTTACTCTCTATGTGAATATACTTTTGACGTCTACCGGCTGTGCACCGACTAGTCGCGTTGCTATCGAAAAAGGCTTCTCGTGCATCGCTAGCACCTCGAAGCCTTCTAGCCTAGATCCCCACTGCTCCCCACTGCGACTTAGACGGAGACCCGTTTCAATCCATAGGTGACCTGGTCTGGTGCCAGTCGGTACGAACAATCATCGAAAGGACAATTCAAGCACAACAGTACCGGAATGCGGCGAAGCTTCACCGTCGTGAAATTGCACAAGCTAGGACAGACCGAAATATCATCCTTGCGGTCGGGGACATCTTCAAGCCCTCCCGCCAGCTCTCAAAGGCTGAATGTCCCATCGAAATTCTTGTGCTCGAAGCAGGCATCCGTTCACGAAATAACTCCGAGTTCCAGCACCACCTAACACTATCTATCCGTAGACATACCGCTTGCATCGACCCATCAGATGGGTACTGAACACACATACATGTTGAACAACGGGGGGTCATACTCAAGGTGCGCCCCCACAGAATTCGGAACGCGTGTCCCCCCCACTATACATTTTCTGCCACAGTATACAAAAACTCTCAAAAATATTCAATTAACAAATTTGCATGAATGCCCACCCCTCCGTTCCTCTGCGGCATAGCCCTGAGTACATGCGCTCCTCATTACGCCTGTTCTTCATCAGACAGATAAACGGGTAATACCATGTCGATCGTACACATAATTAACCCATGCGCCCGAAATAAACCAAAACACGTAAGGTTAACGACCCATACGAGGATATACTTCAGCACAAAATCACTTGTCGTTGTCTGTGCCGCCCCGGGAAAAACATGATTGCAGGTCAACCCAACCAAGCACCCATACCTAGATATAACATTTTTTGCCCCCAAGCAAGGTTTTCCGCCCGCTGCCCGAAAGGCGATGCTGTTCTGGCACTGCCTCCGGCCACACCGAAATGACACACCGGTGGCAAGGGAGCATTCCCATGCCTCGTCTGTTCCCTCGAACCCCGTCTTCGTCGTTTTCATCAGCAGAGGTGAGAGCGACTATCCATCTTCGCTAAACCTCGCTTGGGCGACTGGGACGGGTACCCGGGCTCACCGGAAGCGAAATCGTGTCCGAAGGGACACGAAATGGGTATTCACCCGTTGCTCCGGTGGCTCCGCCACACCCGCCCCCGGTTTCGTCACCGTCGCCCGCGTCGGCGATCCATTTAGGGCTGGCGAACCATTGCGATGGAGAGCCACGCCCGGGCGGTCCATGGACGGGCTGGCCTGGAGAGGCACGGGACCTTGAACCTCGAGGGGCCCGATACATACCCATCTCGATGTCGGCATCCTCCTCCTCATCATCATCGGCGTAGCCGGTTTTCCCGTCGTCCGAGCTCAAGCTGCGGAACAGGAGCGACGCGTCGGGGAAACGTGAGGAGCCCCGTCCAGGCTCGGACAAAAACGTCGGTGTCGCGGCCGTAGACGCCGACGATCCTTCGGCGGTTGGGTGTGTCGGTGATACCATCCTAGACCCGGCGTTGGACGGCACCGGCGAGGCGGTCAGGACCATGGCTGGGGCCAAAGGCTCTGGGTTGATGGCGCGGTTCCTTGAGCGGGGAATGGTCTTGCACAACCGCGTCAAAACTCCACCGAGGTACATATGGGCCGGCCCCCTCGGGAAGGGGACCCCGTCACGTCCGTTGGGGGTGTTATCCGTGGCCGGCACGGGGTCATCGGTCACCTCGGGCCCTCGCCTCAAGAGGAAGCGCGCGCAGCCGCTCCGTTCGCTGTCGGACTCGCTGATAGTAATGGTCAAGTGTCTGCTTCGATCTTCCCTTTGGACCTCGATGCGCATCGCGGAATGCCTTGACGGATCATCGGGTAAGCCCTGCGCCTGCAGGTTGGTCGCGCGGAGCAGCTCGTCCCTGCGCGGTGTGTGGGCGGTGAAACGGCGGACGTCAGCTTTTTGATCTGTTGTGTCTGGTACAGGCAAGATAAGGAATGGTGTTTCGAAAGTGGCAGGCTTCTTATTCCTTGATTGCACCTTGTACGAAACGTCTCATATCCAGGATATGCGCACGAAGACCTGATGCAAGACACCCTGACATGCGCACCGGCGGGCCACACCTACGAAATCGCAACCATCCTGCTGCCGACAGCGTTTCACCTCGCTAGGGACAACACCTGTTGTAGATGTCCATCTCGTATTTTGGACATAAGAAGAGGGTCAGCGCAATGCCGATGAAGCTCAGGCCTATCACCAAAGCAAAGGCCACCATCCCATTGGTGTTCATCTCAACCCCGATGATGATGTTCTCAATGTCCTTCAAGGAATAGATGTAGTGGGACACGGGGTCCTCACCGAACGGCCTCGCCTTTTGCTTGCCATAGAGGGCAGAAAAATCCCTTGTATCATAAGGGCCCCTATTGTACGCTCGGAGGAGGCCGAAACAAGCGCCACCGCCATCGCCGGCCACGCCGTTTACGATCGCAGTGACCACTGCCTCGGCAAGCCGTACAGTGGACGAGATGTGGAAGGCGTAGGCGATCTCGACGGAGGAGTTTCCGGCAGCAGCGGTGATAGAAGCCCCGGTGGCGTTCCAGACGGAGTAGAGGAAGCTGGGTTCGCTGCTGGTCTCCTCTACGATTACGTGCGTGTCTCCCGTCTCGCGCTCGGTGAGAATGATCGAGGGTTTGCTGTTGCCAATGACTTCGACAACCGCAGGCCCTTGGTCACATTCCAGAACGGTGCCCCATTCTTCGATGCCGTTGGTTCTGTTGAGGGTGACTGGGATGGGATCATCGGTGAAGGTTTGCGCCTTACCTCCCGACGAGCACGTGATGCCGTCTACCATCACAGTGGCGTTTTCCCCGTAGACCAGATTATCCGGCTTTGTATTCCGCGACCAATTGGCGACGATGATATCGCCGTTGATGTACCTGTCCTTCGGTTCGCTCCACGGGTAGTTCTTGTATTCTTTCACGTAGTACCTCGACTTAGCCACCGTTTCGAAGACATTCGGCTGGTTCAACCAGTCCCCTTCGTACTCGGGGGCGATTTCGTTTAGGCTCAAAACCTGCGACGCAAGCACAATGACAGAAGTCCACAAGAGAAAACGATAGGTTACGTGCGCGTAAGCTTGGGGAACGAGGCGACCTGCGGATGGGTGCTTCTCAACCTGAACCTTGTGGGCGTCACACGCTTCACCGATGTCTTGCACGATCGAGTACGATCATGGCCATGCTGGTGGCCAGAGGTCAGGTTTTGGGTAGGTTGGGCACCGATTACAACCAGGGGGGTGGAGGTTGCACCTCGAAAAGGGGCCAAGTATTCCCACATCTCGGAGGGGGGGGAGGGATGCACTCGTAGTCGTGCATGCCGTAGTAGTTAGACCATTGACCTCGCATCCCTACAACGCCGGGATGGAGCACGCCGGGCTGTCCCCGGACCAGGCTCTCACACCACCAAGCGCGAAGCACCGTGAGGTATTCGGCGAGTCGCATGAAGGGTGCGATGCATCCCGCTAGGGGTGTTTGGCATCTTGTGGATGACAGCTTCGTATGACTTGATGTATTTTCTGGTGCTTTCACTTCCAGACACAGTTGTAAGGACTTTGTAACTGCCTCGAGGGTGCTTGACCATTTTGACGCAACGTGGTGCGATCATCCCCGTTGCGCGGAGTGAGGTGTCTCCACCCCGCACAACATGACCTACTCGACCCCCATTATGGCTACTGCCAAAAAAAAACAGAGGTAAAACGTACAAAACGGGAACAACCTGGTTGCCGAGTTAACGAAGTGAATTGACTCGTTTCACAGCTTCGTCCAAAGCGACGAAAACCCAATCCCGATGAAGGCAAAACGTACAAAACGGTAACAACCTGGTTGCCGAGTTCACGAAGTGAACTGAATCGTTTCACCACGTCGTTCCCAAGCGACGAAAACCCCATTCCGATGGCAAACACCAAGGGGGGGGCTCGTTTTGCAACGTCGTTGCCAAGCGACGAAAACCCAACCCCGATGG